TTATGGCTTTAATACACGTATATAGTATATTCATACTGTGATATAAAATGTTTCAAATATAATAGATAGTTAAATAATAAACCAAAAGCAATGTCTAAATAGATCTTTATCAATATATATAGGTCAGCAGTGTTTGAGAGCAAGTTTTGCTATATAAAAAGCGACCATCTGTAAATTTAAGTGGTTTCCTCTGAATATCTAAATAAAACCATTTTTACAAGCTTTTATTTAACTCACTTCCTCTGTCGACAGTCTGTCGTCAGTCTAGATCGAAACGCAGGAGTGAAAATTCGGACAGTTCTACTTGACCGATACGATTCACATTTGACACGTGGGTCAAGACATGAAGACAATGCAATCTGAAATTAAATTTGACTTAATTGGATGCCTAATTAATTTTTTATGAATTAATTAAAATTTGGACCGAATTAATAGGCATGTCTATCGAACCGCACCACACGCGTCATCACGTTCAATAGCGCGTCATCACGTTTCAATCGGCGCGCAATGGTTTTTAGTCATGAAACTCTAGTGTAAATAAAAACATGTAAAGTACTAAAAAAAATCATAAAAACGTTTTAATAACAAGCTTTTATGTACGAATGCACTAAAAAGTAGAAAATAAATTATAGACTACTATTTAAATAACTATAAAGAAAAGCGTGGGTCTCTTCTCAAATATTAGTTAAGGTATCCAATAGGTACTAAAGTGACCAACGCTTTTCTTTATAGTAATTTAAATAGTAGTGTATAATTTATTTTCTACTTTTTAGTGCATTAGTACATAAAAGCTTGTTATTAAAACGTTTTTTATGAATTTTTTTTACAAGCTTTTATTTAACTCACTTCCTCGTCAGTCTGTCTAGATCGAAACGCCGGAGCGAAAATTCGGACACTTCTACTTGACCGATACGGTTCACACTTGGCACGTGGGTCAAGACATGAAGACAATGCAATCTGAAATTAAATTTGGCTTAATTGGATGCCTAATTAATTTTTTATAAATTAATTAAATTTGGACCGAATTAGTAAGCATGTCTATCCAATCACACCACACGCGTCATCACGTTCAATAGCTGCGCCATCACGTTCAATGGCTGCGCCATCACGTTCAGTAGGCGCGCAATGGTTTTTATTCATGTTACTCTATTGTAAATAAAACATGTAAAGTACTGAAAAAAAATTCATAAAAAACGTTTTAATAACAAGCTTTTATGTAATAATGCACTAAAAAGTAGAAAATAAATTATAGACTACTATTTAAATAACAATAAAGAAAAGCGTGGGTCACTTTAGTATCTATTGGATACCTTTACTAATGTTAAGGAAGACACCCACGCTTTTCTTTATAGTTATTTAAATAGTAGTCTATAATTTATTTTCTACTTTTTAGTGCATTATTACATAAAAGCTTGTTAGTAAAACGTTTTTTTTAATGAATTTTTAGTATAATGTTACCAAATAATAAAGAACAAAAAATAAAAAAAAACAAGATGGCTGCTAAACTAAATGAGGTTGACTGCATCGGATGAAAACATCGCTATTCGAATATATATTACATTACTATTATTACTGAGAAGTTTTAATACAATTTCAACTGTTTAAAAACAGGCAGATTTTACATGAACGAAACTTTGAAACATATTTGTAACTTTCAAACATAAATCCTCTTAAAAATGTGAAAGAATTATTAAACTGCAACGAGTCCCTTTTTTTTCACGATAGATTACAAAAAAAAAAAAAAAAACCCAAAAAAAAAACGTTATTTTGGTCAACAAAATGTCTGGGTTCTCTGGCAAACGGGTCGATGCTAGCGTGTAGCCTAGTATGTTGTAGCATAATAACTAGGTTAGACTAAGTAAACTAAGTTAGATCTAGATACCCAGATTCTAAACTCAAGACCTAGATTCTAAATAAAATAATACTAAATATTGTAAATAAAATATTTATTATAAGTTATAAATACCTATTTAATAGGCCTATGTTAAATACAGCTTATACTCTTTTGATTTATCATGTCATACTAATAGTATAATATACTATAGAATATAGAAATAATGTATATTTTATTTTTAAGCCTAAGGATTAATTTCGGAGAATTCCGATATGTCGACATAATATAGAATCTAGATCTAGGCCTAGATTTATATATTATTATATTATTAGGCCTATTAGTTATAAATTATGACTTATATATAATAAATAAAAACGTCTATAGATTAGGCCTGGCCTATAAACTATAATACAATATTCATTAACGGTAACCGACGTTAGCTTATTTAAATTATTGATGTGTAGTGTCTTATTTAATTAGCCTATATTTTTTAAAATTATAAGCCAATGCCTGATGAAATAGGCCTAAAGTAAGTCAATACATTAGGCTATAGGCTCTATTTTTGTAATAGAGTAATACTAATAGTAGGCCTAGTGACTACTTATTATTAGTAGCAGTGGTGTTGCCAGGAAGTGGTCATGGGAGGGGTTCAAACATTTTTCCCTATGTATAAAATTTTATATATATATATATATATATATATATATATATATATATATATATATATATATATATATATATATATATATATATATATATATATACATAAATATTTATAGGATCTATACATATACGGTTAGGGTCCATGGGAGGGGTTATAACCCCCCCCCCCCCCTCTTGCCGACGCCACTGATTAGTAGGCCTAATAAATAATAATAAGTAATGTAATATAACTTGATAATATAGTCAATAGGCTATCATTCATAGGACATAGATAATATAGGAGGTCCATAATTATTTAAATTATAGAATATACATATATAGTCATATAGGCCTATATAATATAATAATGTAATATTACGTAGGCATAAGATGGTGTCTTAGTTTGACCTATTATAATTAATAGCCTAATTATGTTATTAATATTAATAGCCTATTCTAAGTTAATGCACAGGTAGTACCAGAGCCTCAAAAATTACTAAAATTAGTATTAAAGTATGCATTCTCATCATAGTCACACTTTATAAAAAAACCTAATAGTAATGAATAGTTGTGTAGTATGTTAGACTATTAAGTTAGTGTGGAGCATGCACATATACATTAATCTTTATGTATTGTGTTTTACATAGTTGTTCACAACAAGGTCTTTATGTGAATGGTGAGGCCTGAAGCCCAATATTGGCTAAACATTGGTTACCAATATATTAGCTACAAATTGGCCCAACCTCGGCCTAACAATAACATTGGTAGTGATACTTGGCAAGATATTGGCTATATCTTGGCCTAATATTGACTATATCTTGAGTGGGCAAGTATGTCAAATATTGTTATCGAGAGTAAATGAGAGGGACCAAACATGTTTTCAACTTATTGTAGTGTAATCTTTGACTAATTATTAAAATTAGAACCTTAATATATTTATTTTAGAAATATTTATTATACTATTTTAAGAATTTATGTTAAAATTTGTGTGCTTACCTAAATGGTTGTGTATTCTGCTGAGACATCTAAATTAAAGGAAATTGTTTCAAACATGAGTGGATTGTGGATTGTACAGCCACAATGATTTCAAACATAAAACTGACACATAAAAGTAAAGTTAAGTTAAAATAAACACATGTTCATACTGAGGATTGAAGAGACTTGCGTACCTCAATATCTGTAGTAATGTGTTATTTACCAACTTTAGTTAGCAAGTAGTAAAAAAGTAAGTTGATAAAAAATTCATACAAAACGTTTTAATAACAAGCTTTTATTGTTATATTGCATTAAAAAGTAGAAAATAAATTATAGACTACTATTTAAATATCTATAAATAAAAGCATGGGTCACTTTAGTATCTATTGGATACCTTTACTAATATTATTTCTTTATAGTTAATTAAATAATAGTGTATAATTTATTTTCTACTTTTTAGTGCATTATTACATAAAAGCTTTTTTTAAAAACTTTTTTATGAGTTTTTTCTCAGTACTTCAAATTAAAAAAAATTTACAATAGAGTTGCATGACTAAAAACCATTGCGCGCCTATTGAACGTGATGATGCGTGTTTAACAGTGCCTAATAGTTGGGTAAGACAGCCTAATAATATGGACACAATCGCAATTAATTCATAAAAAATTAATTAGGCATCCAATTAAGTCAAATTTAATGTCAGATTGCATTGTCTTCATGTCTTGACCCATGTGCCAACTTTGAACCGAATCTGTCAGTTGAAAGTACTCGATCATTTCGATCTAGACTGACGACAGACTGACGACAGAGAAAGCAAGTTAAATAAAAGCTTGCAAAACTTAGAAATTGCCTTTCATGTCACCAACACATGTGCTAATCACACTCACTATTCTGGTTAGTAAAAAAAGAAGATACAGTCAAAAGGTTTGCATTAACAAAATGTTGATAAAACCACAACATATTTGGTAAATTGGCCTAGGCAACTGGGTGGATTATCCCTGCATACATTTTTAATAGAATTGTTTGTTAATCCCCTTTAAAATCTAGTATCAGATGAAATAATATTATTCAGTTTTATTAAGCTTATTTTATTAAAAATATTTTACATTTATTTTACATTTTTTTTACTTCTAAGGAAGTATCATGTTTTTAAGTGACTTTTATGGTAAAATTTTTAAGAAAAGTATTTTTTAATAAAATAAGCATAATAATAATATATATTATTTCATCTGATACTAGATTTATATTTATAATGGATAAACAATTCCTTTCTGTAACTATTATTTCATGTGCTGGTTATTGAACAGTTCAAACTGTATTGGCACACAGGTTAAATTTTATAGGTGCAAAAAATAGGGAGAGTACTATTATATAGGCCTATCTAACTCAAAATGCAAGCTTAGTGTCCTAGTTGATGAAGTTACTGTGGGACCAACAAGTGTTTGAGCGATTTCAGATTAAAGAATGACGGTCATTATTAAATAAATAAAGGCACTACAGTTATTTGTCTTCTATGTTTTTTCCCCAGAAAAATGCAAGTCCAAAATAACACACTACAGCTGTTTAGTGAAATGAGTAGTGTAGTGAATACTTCCTTTACCAAGTAAGAAGACCACCTAGTAAATCTTTTAGTATTTTCTTAATAATTATTTTAAATAAGTTAACACATTTCCTCCACACATAGAAGATCACTAAACGTGTACAAGTATAAGGTTATCTAAGATAAGGGCATAACTTGAGCAGCCCATTTCTAAAATGAGTTAATATTGCTTGAGCAGCTAAATAGAGTTCACTTAGTTGTCTGAAATGTATAGCTATACCATTGAGAGCATATCATTAATATTAATCCAATGTGTTTGATTGTGTAGATAAAAACATCTTGATTATGTGGATATGGCATTTTCAAAACCTGCAATACAAGATGTTCAATTAAATATACAAGGTAAGAACCACTTTAGTAACTAAGAGCTAACTACTGGTAGAATTATTATGTTTAAAAATAAAAGAACAATTGTGTTCTACTTCTGAAATATGCTGCTTCCATATATAGTTATTTGAGCAGTGAAGTATAGGTAAAATAAAGTATAAGTAGTATAGTATATACTTTATATTTATCACAGTAGCTAGTCATCATTAAGATGTAATAATAGATATATTAATGAACATGTGCCATTTGTTCTTAAAATATTGTAAACCCTTTGAAGTGTTGACAATAAGAGTTGTGCAACGACTATAATTCTTGAATTTTCCAAATATTATAATGCTCTCAATGTTTTCTATAGAAAAGAATTTCTTATAATACTTTTACGCAACTATTTTATTATTACCATATAAATCTATTATAATAATAATAATGTTGTACAAAAAGGGAAATAAGTAGCACACTAATATTTGATATCTGATTAGGCTACTATTTTAAAACAAAAATGGAATTTTAGCATACAGAGGATTTTTAAAAGATACAGCTAATCAAATGTATTTATATTTTATATATAAATTGAACTGAATGATTTTTTTCTTTTTGTTTTAGAAAATTTTGAAGGTACAAGTGAAGTAAAAACTAACAAAGGAATATTGAAGGTTCAACACTGCACAAAGAAAGGGGATCACAAAGTATTTATCCCGAAGAAAGAGTTTGGGAAGTATCACCTTCCAAAAGGCTACAGAAGTGATAAAATGATAAAATGTATTAATGTCCTGTGTGATTTAACTGTGAGGATCACGGTTACGTTTATCAGCCCAGGTCGACACCAAGATGATCCATTTTATAAATTAAGAAATAGAAAAGTTAAAATGTTTGGAACCGGCACAGTGACTGATATACAAGACCAACCAAATGCTTTTGAAAATTTGGATTGCTTGTGTAGTCTTTGTGTAAACAATTATAAAGGAAATGGCTTGACTATAGTGACTATCTTGACAGCTTGCCATGTGGTTTTTGATTGTGAGGAGGTGAAAAATACAACTGTTGATTTTTTTTATGATGATGAAGAGGATATCAAGCATATAAAAACTTTAACAGGATTTTGTATGAGAGACAGAAATATAGATGAGGATACCTGTTTTTTCCAGTGTTTGACTGGAGATAAAGACCTGATTGGTACACTAAGAAATAGGTTAGATGAATATGAAAAGTTAGAAACACATAAAAACTTAATAACCAGAGATGACCAACATATTGTCATAGCCTCACACCCTCATGGTCTGTGTAAACACTTAACAGTTGGACAGTGGTCAGCCATTACAGACAAGATGACATTTACAGAAAATGAAGCCATATATGAAATGTATTTAAAATCATTAAAAATAACTACAAATGGAAAAGAAGATTCTGAATTAAATGAAACCAACACACCTCCAGTTCGAACGATAGTCAATGGAAAAAAAGGTAATACATGTATTATCACTTTGAACATTCTTGTAGGAAACAAAATCTTTAAAATATATAACATAAACATTTACTCAGTAAATCATAAACCCTTTTGTTAGAAAATAATTTGGGGAAAAAAATTTTTTTGTGTGGTTTACATGATAAAAACTAGTATCTTGGAAGATCTGCACATGTACAAATTTCTGGCGACTTTTTATGTACCTTATACTCATGGTTTTTGTTGGAAATGCATTTGTTTACATTTTTTTCTATAACTCACTTTTTCCATTGCATCAACACAATGTTACTTAGTATAATTTTAGCTGGTTTAAAAAAAAAAAATCTTTTGAGAATGAAAGTAATTTCATGCATTTTCTAGTTTTATTTATGCATGCTGCATTTATTTTTTGGTTACTGCCAGTAGTCAATCACACAAACATAATTTAAAGTTGAATTACATCTACATATTATCAATGAATATATTTCTCAGAATCTGAGTTGGTCGGGGTAGAGTGTGAAGTTCACTTTCCTGATTTCACAACAGCCAAGTGTCAAATATCAATACATGATGTACGAGTCAAAGATGTAAGTTGTGTTTCTTATTTAGAATTAGAATTCCATTTCTCATAGTACTGGGGCTATCCTGTTGAGGTAATGAAGTTACTAGTAAAGTACTTTTCCATAAGGTAGCTAATGGGGTAGATGTAGAGTTCATCTATTTCTGTGATCAGGGCATTTTACCTTAAGGGATGAGGTGGTCAGCACAATGCCTAGCTGCTTTACTGTTCCTGATGTGGAGTCGACTACACATTTGTGATGGGTTGAGTGAGGTACTATGGACTTAAGTCCAAATATGAAAATTAAGACTACCTTTAAACAAAATATTTGTAAGATCCTTATAAAACTCATGTTGTGTGCAGTCACATGGTGTAAATCAGAAGGTAATCCCACATCTATGTTGCTGCCTCCCAGTTAACATTACATTTTTTTCCGGCTTTGCATTTTAGCGGTGGAAGGGTGAAGGGCAAGCATTCTTGTCTATCAATTCATAAACATAACTTGCATCCTAGTGTAAATTAATACGGCATGATAGAATGTGGTTAGCTCGTATGATTATAAATGGCAAAATGTTTATGTTAAGGATGTAGAGAGAGTTGTCACAAAAATTCAGTAAAACAGGCTTTGCATAACATTATAGTAAAGAAATACACAGCATTTTTATACACAAGAATACTTCATTTTATAAAAATAGAAAGTTGCTCGACTGTTTAACCGTGTGCGGTAATACATCAACCAATTTTTTTTTACTTCTCTAGGTCAAGCTGCAACTGAAACAGGTGGGGGGCATTCATATTCCAGAAGAGGAATTGTATTTGGAAATAGCCTTGCCAAATGGAGAGCTCCAGAAAATGAATGACGATGAAGAGATGGTTTATTACATGAATGATATATTAGATTGTACACATATCAACATGAACAGAATTATTGTCTGATAGATTTAATTAACTTGATTAGTGTTAGAAAACAGTTGTTCTTAGTTACCCTAATGGGGGGGGGGGGGCTGGATTGTATAACAGGAGAAAGCAAATTTGATAATTCCTAAGTTGTGAGTTTGGACCATTGGGCAGGTAAAGCTTGTTACCTGGGGACAGCAACTCACCTAGGAAAGACAACTCCATAATCAAACAACTGCTGCCTTGTAGTTTGTTCTTGGTTTGAACTAAGGCTATGAAAGCAAATCCAAAAAGAAAAGCATACTAATGTTGGAGAAAGTACCTTCCAACATTACAAGTAAGAATGTAGAAGAATAATTATCCAAGGAATAATCAGAAAATATATGCTGAACAGGAAGGGGTTAAATTTGTGGTTTAGCTCGAGGATGGCGGGCGGGACAGCCACCCAGGCGCTGACTCTAGGGGGGTCACTAAAAGGGGTTAAAAGTAATTTATTTAAATAAATCTTATTTTGACCTCCATTTGTAAACTAGACAGTCCAATTATTTATGAAAATAGAATATTATGTGCCTTTGCAGTCTGTGTCAACTATTTTTCACATTTATTGTAAAACATCAAAATAAATTCCACCAGTGGACCTGTCAATAGCGACCCCCAAATTTGTGGGGAGGGCCCATGTGATGTAGGAAATTTTTTGATACCTAGAAAAGAAACTGATCGTACACATATAAAATGTGTCACAAGTAAATTGTTATTCAACACCTTTGAAGTTGAAATTTACGCCTGAATACATCATAAAATATTATAATATTCTATATTTGAGATATTCCAGATTATTTCAAAGATGCAATACAAAAATCTGGTTTAAACTTGACAAGGAACTAAGCTTAATATCAGATGCTAAGTGACAATTCAATACAAAATATTTTAAGGCATACACATATGTAAATGGAACACATTGGCATCCAGAAGTAAACTTTTGAGACTAGCAATGTGAGAAATCTGTCCTTGCATAGAATTTAGAAAGCTTAGGCACTCTAATTCCATAGAATGCCTAGTAATATATATATATATATATATATATATATATATATATATATATATATATATATATATATATATATATATATATATATATATATATATATATATATATATATATATATGTATTGAATTGATAGTTCACCCGGGTGCCTCTGGGTTAAACTAACCAGACAAAAAGTTTATTTCTCTATATAGTCTTGACAATTTTAAGAAGAAAATTTTAAAACCTATCACTAAAGGATGTTTTGTTTAGTTAAAATTATGTTTCAAGATAAATTTATTCAGATCAGGTAAAAATCTTAATATATCTAATAAGACTTCAAGTTAGTTCTATACTCTTAACAGTAAGAAATAAGAGAAGTATACAACTGACATTTTTAGAATGTTTTTTTCTATAGGTTTAAGTGTTATGTAAAGTGGTTTTAAACATAGCATTCTTATTTCAATCTGAAATATTAGGGTAAACCTGATGTCCTTGCTTTGATCATAACAGATCTTTATGCCACACTTCCATGTTAGTTTGAGCAAATAATTGGCAAGGTCTACTTAATCACATCAGATCTTGTAAAGGCTACTTTAGAGTCTTGGAAACCTCTCAGGAATTGAATAGGCAGCATGTTTATATTATTATATTGGATTGATTGTAGTGTTAGATTGATTGGTAATATTTTACTGAAAAAATTAATACAAGAAAGTCTGCTAGAAAAAGTGTTTAAACTGTCGAGGTTTCATGGAAGATTGAAAACAGTAGTGTTGATTATGAATGGAGTAGAATGATTATTAGTCACACTGGTGTTTTTGTGTACCAGATATCTGTTTAAAAGATGGGCAGAATTTCTATTAAAGGATATAGAATGTTTCTTAATGTACAATTATTCAATAGAGAGGAAATTTTTTATCAAACATGTTTTTATATATTTAAGCCAAAAAAACTTAAAGGACGAACATGAAAATAAAAATTTTTTGTAGCTTCCTCAGTATAAAAAAAAAACATTTATATAAAAATGTTTTAAAAATGTGAATTCCTTTGAGTTAAAAGGTTAAAACTGAACTAGAGTTAGGTTAGAGATAGATTTGGACCTTTTGATAAGCTTGATGTAGCTGAAACTTGATCCATGATGGGATATATAACCATAATTCAAAATTATTTTTGAATGTCTAATTTTTAATTTTTTTTTAATTTCACTTGATTGAAAGCTTCTAACACATCTTTTTTATAAACAAAATCTTTAGCTCAAGTTTATCTTTCTAAAATAAATCTTATTACAATCACTCTGTTTCTCCAAATGCTTTTTACTTTGTTTGCATGTTGCTTAGAGATTATTGTACTGTCACACATTTTGCTAATTGCTTTGATAAATTTTTACCTCATTAAAAGTTGGTTAAATAAATAAAGTAGATATTATCAATTATTTTTGCTAAAGAATGCCCAGCACATTAAATAATACATCAAGGTTGAATCATTTATGAATGAGTTATGTGTAATTAAAAAAAAGTTGTTTCTCTTTTAATTATGACTTATTGTTCGTTAGTGTGCTATATATGCTTCTATATTTTTCTAACCTTAAAATACTTTTTATTGAAAATTTCTTTTTTATAAATGTTCTGATTGCAGTATTAAAAAAATTGAATACATTCATGATTCATCTTAATTAATTTAACATAAGGAATAATTTTTTAAAAATTGAAATAAACAGAAATAAAAGTTTTATTCAAACAGTTTTTGTTTTGTTTTAAACTAGTTTGTTATTGGCACATGATGATTATGTTTTGTTTTCAACTAGTTTGTTATTGGCATATGATGATTATGTTTTGTTTTAAACTAGTTTGTTATTGGCACATGATGATTAAAACCTAATTTTAACCTAAAAATAATTCTTACCGAATGAAAAGAATGGCTTAAAGAAATTTCATTACAAGCAAGAAGAGCGATACAGAACTATTTGTATGGAATTTAATTCATTAATATCTAAAAACAATTATGTTATTATCTTAATTTTCTTATTATATATTTTCATTTTAGTCAAGTTTTTTTTCAGGTGAATTATTTTTTAGCAAGTAATTTAAGGTTGTAAGCAATGGCCTCATTGAATAGCCTTGAACTTTGATTTTTTTCTTTAGGATTAATTAAATTATTTTTTTTAAAGTTAACATAATTTTATAATTTAAAATAGGCCTAGATTCTAGATACTATTATAATCTATATAATTAATAATACTATAGTCTATAAGTATAAAAGTATTTATTTATATAGTTATAGTCATACATAATGTCACAATACCTAAAACTATAAATTAAGTATAGGCTCTATTGCTTTATTATTAAGAAAAATGGAATGTTGAATTTGGCTGTAAACAAAATTTAAGTTGCAAAATTAATGCCAGAGAAAGCTAAGGTGGGATTGAAACAAATTGGGAATTGGGATGCTTTTTTTTTGTGTTTTTTTTTTGTTTGGCAGCTTAGCAACACGATTCAGGTTACCAAGATCTAAAATCTACTTCCTCTTAAGAAAAATCGGCAAAACCCGTTATCCGCTGGCTTTTGCACTGTGCGAGGGCTACTTGACTTAGAGGTTTGTAGAACCCAGATCTTGATCTAACTTTAAACTCTCACAACCATTCGTTTTAATTTAGAATTTATTTACATTCATTACATGAAATGGTAGATTGAAGAAACATTTTTACAAATGGCTTTCAACAGTAGGCCTGCTATTAAATTATTATTTAATTTATTATAGTATAGTTAAGTATAGGCCTACGTTTACGGCCTACAGGCCACTGTAAGCCCCTACATACACTCACACTGCACTGCTCCTAGCACTATAAAGTATACTTAGGTAATAAGCAAAATAAATGAACTTATTTAAATACTGCAAAAGCATTTCACTTATCAATATTACTTGATAAAAATACAATAAGGCCCTATATTAAGACTACCAAAATAATTTAAAAATTTAAGTTTTTTTTCGGAGAACCACTTCATTTATTACAGTCAAGTAGGCTACGCCTGGCCTACTTTTTTTTTTACCGTCGTCATCGAAATGATAGCCGCCGAAAACGACGATTCCGTGTTTTCGTTTTTTTTTTACATTTTTGCGTACTTTTCAACGAGACCAATCTAGTTTTAACAATGGGCGATTAATGTTTGATCTAAACTTGTCTTTTGAAAATTTTATTTGTCCTAATTGCTGAGAATATCGAGCATAACATTGGTTAAGAAAAACGTTTATTACTGTAATTTAAAACTATTATAAGAACACGCAATTGCTTTAATTACAGTACTTGTATGTGTTAGAAGTCGAAAACTATAAAAAAAAAATCTCATTTATAAATAAGTGTGCACGATTTCAATACTTCCTATACAGTAAACTTTACAAGTGGTGCAATAGCGTTAAAGATTTTTGATTTGGGGGGGGGGGGGCGCAATAGTTGTAACGATTTAGCTTGGTTGGAGTAGGATTAGTTGTGGCTTGTTTGAAGACTTGTTTACAGACCCATCACTATAAGTCAAGGTATTTATTTTCCTAGTAGCGACAAACATACTCACCAGCTTTAAAAAAGGCAAAAAATAATTATCCCAACAATTGATTGAATTAAAAAAATATAGAGAGAGACTATAATAACCAAATTTCTGCCGTAACAGACCGGTAAATTAAGTCTGGGAACATTGACTGACAGGAATACATCCTCCCCCTTCCCCATGTAGGCTTATTCTTTATTCAATACTTCAGGCGACCATATTTGCTTATATCGATTAGTTCTCATCACATAGACTAGCCATTATTCAACGTTATTCGATAATTATGGCGTTTTGTTTACTTTTCAGGTTGCCATGGAATCTGGAGCAAGTCTAGGTGAGTCACACATTTAACCAGCTACAATGGCGTCGCTAGGTCGGGTGTCACCCGGTGCGGCACCCTCAAGGTATCAACCCCCTTTTTTTATCTGTAAATTTTGTAGTTGGTTCTCCCCCCCCCCCCCTCTTCACAGTAACATCTTTAAAGTTTACATTTAATACTAATAATTGAAAACTTTTACAATAAAGCATTGA